GGCCAGATCCTGGGCAGGGGCGGGGCCTCATGCCTCCAGGGCCCGCCTACCCGACCGAGCCCCGGGAGTGGGCGGGGCTAACCCCTCCCAGGTCTCCCTGACCCCAGAGCTCAGGTGGGAGCCGGGCGGGACCTCACCTGGCCGCCTTCGTTCTCGATGCCAGCCAGGAAGATGGTGGAGCCCACGAAGAGGCAGATGCAGAGGTGCAGGTGTATGGTGGTGCGCGAGCCCTGGATGGGCCGCACCAGCAGGAAGGTGAGGATGCACAGCAGCAGGCAGAAGAGTGACAGCGCCAGTCCCACCCTGGTGATCAGGGTCAGCTTCCAGTCCTAGGAGTGGCACCGGGTGCTCAGGGTTCCTTCAGGGCCTGAGGCCTTTCTGCCCTCTTTGTGGTCCCTTTTCCGCCAACACTCTGACGGACCCACCTCTCTGACCTCCTCCCTTGTCCCTCCTAGATCTGGCCACACTTACCAGCTGGCAGGGGAGTCTACGGATTTCACATTTTTGTGCTTGCTGGGCCTATGGCCTGGACCACAGGCGCTCCCCTTCTCTGCCTAATTGCTGTTTTCGACAAGGCCCAGCTTAACTATGGATTCTACTGAAGTCACATACAGAAAGTGGTGCTCCAGGCTGAGTGCAGTGGCTTACGCCTGTAATCCTAGCACTTTGAGAGGCTGAGGTGGGCGGATCACCTGAAGTCAGGAGTTCGAGACCAGCCTGCCCAACATGGTGAAACCCCGCCTCTACTAAAAATACAAAAATTAGCTGGGCATGGTGGCGTGCACCTGTAATCCCAGCTACTTGGGAGGCTGAGGCAGGAGAATCGCTTGAACACGGGAGGCAGAGGTTGCAGTGAGCCAAGATCACACCACTGCACTCCAGCCTGGGCGACAGAGCAAGACTCTGTCTCAAAAAAAATAAAAATAAAAATAAAAATTTTAAAAGGCCGGCATGGTGGCTCACACCTGTAATCACAGCACTTAGGGAGGCCAAGGCGGGTGGATCACCTGAGGTCAGGAGTTCAAGACTAGCCCGGGCAACATGGTGAAACCCTGTCTCTATTAAAAATACAAACATTACTCAGGCATGGTGGTGCACGCCTGTAATCTCAGCTACTCAGGAGGCTAAGGCAGGAGAATCCCTTGAACCTCACTAGCTGAGATTGCGTCACTGCACTCCAGCCTGGACGACAGAGTGAGACTCCATCTGAAATAAAAAAGGCAAGTGGTGCTCCCTTGGAATGCTCTACACGGGGAGCTTTTACTTGACATCTCACAATTGGTACAGGATGGACAGGCAGAGGAGCTACTGGCTGCACCCGATGTATAGTTTCTGGGTTGTAGAGAAGAGGCCAGAGGAAGAGGATGTGAGGGGTGTGATGTGGGGACACCTGGGCTGTGCAACCATGCAGACATATCTGAGCAACCAGCAGGGCTCCATGGAGAACTAGCTGCCTGTCTGGTTGCTGCTGGACCTTGTTACCTGTGGGCGCTTGAGGATGGCCCCAGCTGCTCACCTCCAGGTCATAATGAGCCATGAGGATCGCAAAGCTGCTCAGGTGGCTGCATTGGCAGGTGGTGCTACCGTTCTTGCTGCCCAGCACCCGGCAGCCCTCAGTGGCCCAGTGCCCTCCCCTGTTGCTGTCACTCTTCCAGAAGGCACAGATCAGCTCCTGCCGTGGCCCAGGCATCACGTCCTGTGGGCAGATGGGGATGGTCAGAGAGGTTGGCCTGGAGCTCACTCTTAGGTCCTGGGCTTGCGCTGAGCCCAAGAGGGCTGCTTGTTTACTAGATGAGTATTGACTGAGCGCCTACTGAATGTAACAGTTTGGAGACACAGCAGTGAACGCCGCAGACACAAGCACCTACCCTTGTAAGGTTGACATAAGAGTGGGCGAGGAGGCCGGGCACGGTGGCTCACACCTGTAATCCCAGCACTTTGGGAGGCCGAGGCGGGCGGATCACCTGAGGTCAGGAGTTTGAGACCAGCCTGGCCAACATGGCAAAACCCCATCTCTTACTAAAAAATACAAAAATTAGCTGCGCGTGGTGGCAAGCACCTGTAATCCCAGCTACTTGGGAGTCCCAGGCAGGACAATCGCTTGAACCTGGGAGGTAGAGTTTGCGGTGAGCCGAGATTGAGCAACTGCACTCCAGCCTGGGTGGCAAGAGTGAAACTCCATTTCAAAAAAAAAAAAAAAAAGTGGGAGAGGCAGATTATGTCATAAACCTAATGAATAAGTAACATACATAGTACATTAGAAGGTGGCCAGGCGTGGTGGCTCTCGCCTGTAAGTAATTCCAGCACTTTGGAAGGCCAAGGTGAGAGGATTGCTTGAGGCCAGGAGTTTGAGACCAGCTTTGGCAACATAGCAAGACCTCCATCTCCATTAAAAAAAAAATGTTTTTTTTAATTAACTGGGCATAGTAGTGCACACTTAGAGTCCCAGCTACTTAGGAGGCTGAGGCAGGAGGATCACTGGAACCCAGGAATTCTAGACCATCCTGGGAAACATAGTGAGATCCCTGTCTCTATCAAAAATAAAAAAGTTAACTGGGAGTGGTAGTACATGCCTGTAGCCTCAGCTACTCAAAACTCTGAGGCCAGAGGAATGGATGGGTCCAGGAGTTCGAGGTTGCAGTGAGCTATAATCGCGCCACTGCACTCCAGCCTGGGCCACAGAGTGAGACCCTCCTGTCTAAAAATATAGATAAGTAAGAAAAGAAAGGCCGGGCGCGGTGGCTCAAGCCTGTAATCCCAGCACTTTGGGAGGCCGAGACGGGTGGATCACGAGGTCAGGAGATCGAGACCATCCT